CAGCAGGAAGATATGAAAAATAAATAAATAAATCTACAAACCCTCAGTTAACTAACATTGGATAAAGCCCTGGCTATTTATATTTTTCTGCTTGTATTAGAGGTAAACAGAAAGGCAGCCTCAGATATGTCCTCTGCCAGGCTCATTAAAATTACTATTGCCTTACCCTCACTGCAGTAACTGCTATATATCTGTCATTACAAAAGTAATTCCTTCTCTGCAGAGGAAAAGTCTATACACAATTTATCAGATACGGACAACATCACTCAGGAAATCATGAGAGCTACACAGCCTGAAGACAACTATCTTGCAGACCCTGGCTGGGCACATCGCTCCACTGGTCTCCACAAACTCACCTTGATGGGAACTGTAGGACATTTAAGTTCCACCCTTTTGCAGTTAAGAAATTGGATAATCGATAAATGTCAAAAGTGTCCGAACCAATGGAGAGGACAGACACCTCAGGTTTCCCAAAAATGAAGATGCTGTCAATTTTTCTCAACCTTGAAAAGAAAAAGGAGAAAAGAAGTGACTGACCAGGATTACAGGGCCCAGACATTCTGTCCATCTATCTGGAGCCTTAAAAGGAAAAGCTACAGAAGGGAACAGATGACAGTACACTCCTACCAAAAAAAAATACACAACCAGCCCAGGCCATTGGGACTTGCAAGAGGACTCAGGTCATTACCAGGCCCTGAAGTCAAGTAAACTCAGGAAGAAATGGAAAAGAGGGAAGACAGAGAGGCAAGGGACGACAGCGTAGCAGGGAAAATCAGCTTATCAGGTCACATAGTAAGATAAGCACCCCAACAAGAGAGTATAACCCTTTTTCTGTCATCCTTCCAGATACCATCCCCTCAGCCATGCTGAGGCAGAAGAAACTCCTGAAGCAAAGTCACTAAATAAAAATGCCTGCACCCCTCCTCTCTGTGCCTCTGGGCTATCTGGCACAGGGCAGTCCCTGGGTATAAACAAAGCATCTTCTCCCCTAACTGCCCAGTGGATCCCTACCCAGCAGGTAACATGCTATAGCTTCTCCAAGGAAAAAGAAATGTTGCAAGAGAAACAAAAGCAGTTTGAGAGAAAGAGTCCAGAACAGGGTTAAAAAGTACAATCAAAACACTAAGGCATGCACATACTCTGATTCGAGGAAACGAGCCGTTTTAATGATCCTCTTCGTAGCCTCAACGTAGCCCGATTCTCCTATGTGCAACAGAGTTGCCCAGCATGCAGCTATGATTCCACCAGGCCTGGAGCCCGCCACGGAGGGGGAGGCGTATATGCCCCCTTGCCAGTCAGGTGCTATAAAGAACTGGTAGCTCCTGTACTTCTTGTCGCTGTACAGCACCACTGAGGAACCCTTGGGAGCATAGCCATACTGCAAGGGGCACAGAAAGCGTTAAAAAGCAGCAAGAGGGCACAGGAACATATTCAAGCACTTACTGCATGCAGCCACCGAGATCCCATTTGCCCATAGTTTGGTGCATTGCACAAAGCATCTGAATAAAGCAGCCCCTACCCCTGCCCTTCAGCACTCCTCTGCAGAGCAGAAATGCCCAAAGGCAAGGATGGCATCAGGAATCTCTCCCCAAATATGAAAGCACTGGAAGACCTTTTTCTCCCCTTCTTACCTTGTGGGTATCAGCAGAAATGCTGGTCACACCTTTTACGCGGAAGTCAAATGGACGCTTTAGAGGGAACCCTGCCTTGTCCATGAAAGCAATAAGAAAACCACCCAGGCAGGCGTCGACATGTAAGGGGATTTTGTACTTCACTGCAAGCTGTGTGCGAACAAGAGATTCTGGTGAGTAACACACAATCAGGCAAGAAAATTACGTGGCTGGGGCACTCAAACTCCAGTCACCAAGAGGTACTCTGCATTTCACAATTAAATGTTTCCCCTGGACCCTTTGGAAGCATCATGCAACTCTCAAGTCATTGAGGATAGCAGATCTGGAAGGGCTGGCTACTTGTGGGATGCCATCTGCTGCCTTTCACGTGTGTGAAGATTGCCAGTGAGAGGAAAAACATCATTGCATTTTGGCAGTTTGCTGTATTTACCAAAGAGATGTGACAACATGGTCTGAAAGAAATATCTGCAATAAAGTGTAAGGGCGTGATCCAAATGAAAAGAAGGTCAGAGGCCCTGGCTGGTTACATACAAAATAAATAACCAGAGCACAGAGAGAAAAATCAAAAGGCGTGTTTGAAAAAATAAGATCCCAGCCCTTTGACTCCTATTCCCTCCACGCATTCCTCAGGCTTCTGCACCAAGTTTGCTACAACCAGTAGGCCCTAAATCAAAGCCTTTTTACCAGGTGGACTATTTTGCTGTTATTTCCTTTCAGGTACCAAAGAATGAGCCCTTCTGGTTGGTCTCGCAGTGGGTGCAGCAGAGCTCTAAGTCACATACACAATACACACCTTCAGTTACAGCAGAAGTTTATGGCACAGACTTGAGAGTTCAGAGACAAAGCACGCACAAAAGACTCGCTGCTTTGGCTTGCTATGACACACCACACGCACCAGCTCAAGTCTGAAATCCAGCCCCATGCTGGATTAACAGCTTTACAACAATGCCCAGATGTAACTTGCGGTATTTAAACCCCACCTTCTCACAGCAGTTAAAGAGTACAAAAAAAATAGTCCCATATTCCAAATTGTGTAAAAACCCCACTGTTTGTTAACACCTGATTTGAGGACAGTGATACCCTCCCAACCAGTCTGCTCCTCCCACCAGATTCACTGGTTGGCATCCTGGAACTCCCCTGCTCTTCTTGTACAGAAGGACATGCTGGTTTTATTGTTACAGCACCCAGAAGTCCCAGGGGTGCCTTACCTCTGCCACCTCTTCAATCGGGTCCATAACTCCATGAGGGAACTGGGGAGCAGAACAGACCAGCATGGCTGTGTTCTTTGAGATAGCTCTCCTCATTGCCTGAAGATTTAAAGAGAGAAGATGTTCACATTCCATTTACCAAGTGCCATCCTGCCAAAAAAGATAAAAAGTGAAAACATGCAACACCTGCGCTTAAAAAACAACATACAAAAGGCTATAGACAGCAATGAGCTACAAGCATCAGCAGAGTCATTTAACTCATCCACTTGGAAATACTAGAATATTTTTGTTCGCCCTCATCAGAAATCTGGGGTTATTTCTGAAATACATAAATTATTTGATTCCTTATAAATCACACAGGACAAAGGGATGGTTTATATCCAATTATTTCAAACAAAACCTTATCTGCAATGACAACCACTTATTCCGGCTGTTTCTCCTTATTTCCAGGAAGCATTCACCCCTCTCTATCCACTGATTTGCTACCTGGATAGGTAGATTTCTTGCCATTTGTGGTACAATGCTAATTTCCTACAGAAAGAGTGCTGTGCTGCCTAAAATGATACCTGAATATCCACTTCCATATCCTTGGTCAACGGTATGTGAATCAACTTCAGTCCAAAGTAGTGTGCTGCCTTGTCAAATGCTGCATGAGCACTCACCGGGACCAACCTAGAAAAGTAACAGATTGCATATGTCAACCCAGGCAGCACCTCAGCTTTACTGTGAACAGGAGGGGAAAGAGCAAAAAAAATTCAACCTGTAGATATTTCTGTGTGACAGAGAGGTCACAAACAGGCCAACTCCATGTTTCAACCAGCCAAAAGTCATACAGCCCCAAAAAAAAGAAAAAAGGTCAGGGAAGATACTCTCTGGGGCAGAAGAGAGGCCACATGCTGTTCTGAACTAAAATGATGGACACCCAATCTTGAAGAACCCAGAGAAAACCCATTAAAGTAAATCTATCCCACTGCATGGTCTTCTGTGAACCAGGAACAAGAAATCCAAAAGAAAGCTAATTTCTCGTCATATCAAACAATATTGTACCATCTCCAACCAGCCACCCGCCCTGAGGGGCGTGAGACAATACAAAAGGGAAGGAGCAGCATAAATATACCAAATGAACATAGCAGTTGCTGTCTCCCATCTTGAATGGCAGTGGCTGAGCAACTGTAATTAACCTTGTTTTCTGAGGTATCATGTCTTTATCAGGGCCTTTAATAGCATGCAAAAATATTAGAGAGGGAAGAAAAGAACTGCAGGAATTCAGTAGAAGATGAACACCACAGTGTTTCATCTCTTTTTACATTTTCCCCTCGTAAGCAATTAGCCAGAGAAATATTTTTGATGCACCATCTAGAAAAAACCACCACATTAGAGAGAGCAAATCCTTTATTAGCAGCGTAACGATTAGTTCAATTCCCCATTTCAGCTCCAACCAGCCCCAACTTTAGACCCAGAGTTTTCAGGCTAAACCCTCTTTGATCTGAATAAATCAAAACCCTTAAACACTTCAAAGGCCCTGACAATCTGTGCTCAAGAGGGGCCCAAAGCTGACGTGAGCAGGTTCTGCCCTAGAGCAGCATGCAGGTATTGCCAAAATATACCTGTACAGCATAGCTACCACAGCCCCCCAGCAACATTCATGCCTCCCAGGCTGCTTAAAGGTTCCTGTGCTTTTAACCCACGTTTCTCTCCAGACACAGATGGAGAAGAAGGTGGTAATGTGCTATGAAATGAAGGATTATTGAGGTCTAGTGGCCACCTCCACTCAGAGAAACACTAAATCCCACAAAAACCCCCCCCCACTAACTTTTTTTAAAAAAACAAGTCATGGAGGTATTGCTCACATTTCTGGCTGTTTGATGCCTCTCTCGTAAGCCAGGTCTCGGTACGCCTTGCAGGCCATCAGAATGCTCTCAGTTCCCCCAGATGTCATCTGTCACAAAGAAAAGAAGCAAACCAGAAAAACAACTGAGTACACGGATGTTGCTGAAGAGAAAACCAAGAAATGGATGCTGTCACAGCACCTCTTCCCAGAGATGCTTCAGAGGCAAGAGGCACAGGACAACTCAGGTTTTCAAGGGCAGCAGAAGCCACTGAACAACTCAAGGTAGCTTTCTGACACTCAGCTTGAAAGTGCACATTCAAGTAAATGTTGACTCTTCTAAAGGGGGACAGAGAAAGGGAAACAAAAAAGATACTCAACTCAAAAGCCTGACAAGAGGGAACCATACTGCACAGTCACTAGCTGGCAAACATGACCACACCTCATGAAACTACTAGTACCTACTTAGCTCTTCATTACCTGGGGATTGTTTATCTGGATTACAGATTAATTATGCCACGTATACAGAAACAACAAAGTTGATTCTGTATTAAGTCAACTGAAGTCCAGCAGGGTTTATGAGGTCTGGAGCAGTGCCACGCTGAGGCACAGAGCCAACTCAGGGTTGGCACCATTCCTGAGCTATAAAACCTTCCCAGAATGTGGAACACTGCAGAGCACAGAGCTCTCTCCCATCTTCTCTCTGCAGAGGCCAGCCTAGGACTGGTCAACACCAGGCCAGAGCTTGTAAGTCCCCAAGGACCCAAGAAATTTCACACCAGGAGGAATTTCTGAATTACTCTCCCCAGCAAGCCCCCCTGGTATCCACACAACCCACTACCCGAGCTGTCCCAGCCCTCTTTACCCTCACCATAGGAGAGCAAGGGAGTTTGCACCAGGAGGCAGAAGACAGGACAGTACATGCACAAGCTGTTCAATCAAGTTTATTGTTGCATACCAGAACTCAAGAGCTGTTGCAAATTTATAAATTAAACTCTTTACAGGAAGAAGTTCCTCAAGTGGGAGGACTGTATCTTGTTGGCCAGCCTTTAGAACTTCTGATATGCAGGGGACAGAAAAGTGTGTGGGCACAAACCTTTCAAAGTAAAATTTTAACCTAGTAAAATGTGAGGTTGGTTTTTCAAGCAGCCTGCAGGACTGACTGACTGCTATGCTGGGTGAGCCATAACTTGAGGATGGGGGGGTACCTGGGACAGGTATACAGAAGTGCAGGTGAAACACAGGAATCAAAAGCTATTTATAGCACTATTGCAGTTTAACCCCAGCTAGCAACCAAGCACCACGGAGCTGCTCACTTACTCCCCTCTCCCAGTGGGATGGGGAGGAG